AAGTTCCCACCCAATCAGCTCACACCCCCACTAGCAGTTAAAAGGAAGAGACAGCTGCGATCTCACATTGCTCCTGGAAGTACGAGGCCGAGAACACCAGCCTGAGGATGACGAATGAGACTTCGTCAAAACGTCGCCAAGACACTTCCAATTTTACGTGGGAGAAGACCCGAATAACCAAAGACCTACATAGATATAGATATAGATACACACAAACAAATAAGTTGATAGTTATCCATAAAAGCCAAAAACCTATACCTGGGTTACATTTCTTGGAAATACCAAATTAAATGAGTAATATTTGAAATGGAGTAGAATACAAGACTGGTGTGTGTGTTTGTGTTGGCTGCTGATATTTATTTTGTGATTTTTGAGTGAGCAAACATTTTGCAGATCAAAACCAAACAGAAAAGTATAAATATACTAATTTTGAGAGGTTAAGATAAAGATGGACGTTTTTCTTATCCAGTCATGTCTGGCTCTCATCTCTGTTTCTTAACCAAGTGAGCCAGCTTGGTCCAAAGACATTTTCATGTATGTGGTACAGCATGATTATATACAGAGACACTTAGAACATCGTTAATAGGTACTGAAGTGATACCTATTTAATCTACTTTCATTTGCATGCTTTCAAACTGCTAGGTGGGCAGGAACTGGTAATGGGAACTCACCCCATCACATGGCACTCAGGTCTCAAACCAGGGCTGTCAGCTTTCCAGTTGATAAGCTCAATGGCTTTAACTGCTGAGCCATTGTACTTCCCCCCTCCCAAGGATAAGATAAACCCTCAAAATCTTAATATCAATAATATGTCTGCCTCATATCAACTTCACTGGCAAAAAACAGATGAGAGATTTGGAACTAATCAGATCCATGGGCATATGCTAATTTGAGAAATAATTTTCTTTCATTTCCTTAAAAGTTTTTACAAAAGACCTATATTGTGATCCCCCCCCTCCATGTATTAATACAGTATTTCTCAATCTTAACAACTTTAACCTGGGTGGACTAAGGTTGAAAAACACGGTATTAATAATTAAAATTGAGGGGACAAGGATTTCACGCCAATAAATGTTTCTGGTTTTAATACTCACAGTATTGTCTGAAAATCTGAGTGTTGTTCATGAATCAACTCATAAATAGGGTAGAAAGTGATCAATTAGATAGCATAAAATTTATAAGTATTATTTTGGACATCCATCACTCTTACCAACCATCTCCCCTTCATATTCTGGTTATATATGATTACATTTATATTTTATTTTCATTTTTATTATACATCCAATTATTAGAATTCTCAGTGTGATGTATGGGTTGAAGCTGTTGTCCTAGAGCTCTGATTAATATAATATTGGTTTGATCCTATGAAGCTTAGCCATAGAATGAAGAACTTCACAATAGTTGTGAAAGTCAAAGCTTAAAAAGCCATTAACTTACATGTCAACAATCCCATCATCGCCAATCAGCACACAACTCTAGAAGTATTTTCTTTGCACCAAAAATGCAGAGTGCATAGACAGGGGTGTCAAACTCATGACAACATGTGTCATCACGTGATGTATCACAACTTTTTCCCCCTTTGCTAAACTGGGAGTGGGCATGGCAGTGCGGGCTGCGAGTTTGACACCCTGGCATAGAATAACTAGGAAGAAATCACAGCATTCCCCCTGAATTTATTTTGTTCCCACTTTGGGAACAAGCTGTTTCTGCACACAATCCTGATGTTTCACATATTCTATATGTATTTCTGATTCTTCTCCAAGAAATGCAGAACATGTATAAACTGCATTTAATGAAGTGTCCAATAACTGTATGAATAAAGCAATAAGGATAAGAAAGTATAATTATAGATGCACATGGTGAGATGCAGCAGTTGATATCTATCAAACTTTACTGAATCACAATTTAATATATAAAGGAAAACAATTTTTGTAAGTGATCCCAGGTCATCCATGTAAAGGAGATAATCTGACAGATGTTTCTGATGTTTGATAGCTATGGCCTGTTATTCAGTATTTTTGACAGAGGAATCAGTACAATGACAAACAGTAGTGGTGAAAGTGAATCTTTTTGAAATATTCCTTTTTTGATAATAACATCTCCCAGTCTTTCACTATTGACCTGCAACTGAGTCTTCCATTGTGCCACAAAGCATCTGATATTTCTAATTTCTACTGACACCTACTTTCTACTGACACCTGTTATCTCTAGGCACTTGATTATCCAATCAGAGTCGAATGCCTTTTGTAGTCAATCCATGCTACATTCAAGTTGGCCTTCTTTCTCTTGCTGTTTTCCAGAATCATCTTGTCAATTAGAAGTTGATCTTTTGTTCTTCTGATGTTTGGGCATTTCCCTTTCTGCTCAGGTGGAAAGAACTTGTTTTCAAGCAGATGCTATTGGACTGTATCAACTACCATACCAGTTAGCAATTTGAAAGTTGTTGATAAGCAGGTAATTGGCCTTTAGCTGCCTGGTGCTTCCCATTTTGCTGGATCTTTCATTATGAGGTAGGTTTTGCCAGATATTAGCCACGCTTTAATTTCACCACCCTGCAGTATGTTGTTAAACTGCTTGGCAACTAATGAGTATAGACCAATCAAACCTTTCAACCAGAAACCATGCAGTTCATCTTACCTGGTGCTGACCAGTTCTTCCTTACTCTTTTCTCTACCATTTCTGCTGTTATTATTAGTTCTTTCATTTCAACTTCTTTATTCTTATCCACCTTCTTTAACTAAGCTGCATCCTTGTTTTATTTCTTTGGGTTATCCCATATCTGTGCCCAGAACTGTACTGTTTCTTCTTTGTCAGAGACTGACTGATTGTACTGCAGTTTCCCCGTGGGTAGATTGATAGAAACTTTTTTTATTTGATTGAAATTGGAGTTTCTGCCTATAATTTGCAATTTAAGTTTCTTAGTTGCTGCTTTATTATTTCCAGTGCTTCCTTGATCTTCCTTGTTTCTAATTGGTACTTCTTGATTAGGTTTTCTTTGGCCCTCTTGTTCTTCAGCTTTTCTTTGTTCTGGCTTGCTTTCATCTAATCTCAGCTTGCTGATTTTATTTTCAGACAGAGAAAGGAGGAAACGAGTAACACTACTGTACATACATGTTTAAGTAATGCAAACAACACTGTGCCAGAATAAATGAGAGGGTTTACAGTGAAGAAAACCAATGTTTTATGTGGCCTCATAGTTCCAAATTTGGGTCCCAGGAGTTCTTTTTGTTAATTCTAATTTCTAGTTTTATTAACATTTAGTAGAATTTTATTTATATTTGTTATTTGTCCAATCTTTTATAAAATCTAATTTTCATATAGCATGTGCATTAGAACATACACACAATGCCTCTTTTTTTGGAACCTTCTGCCATCCTGTCATGTTTGTCTTAAGTATTGAGACTAGAATGGTTGGTTTACAGAATTCATTCTGTCTGCCCTGGAAGGGATCCTTAATGTTTCAACCTTAATCTTGTATGTTTACTGAGTAGGCAAAAGCCATATTGATTTAACACTCAAACTCACTCTATCTCTTAGCTGCTTTCTGACAAAAGCTTAAATCAGAACTGTCAGACTATGTTTATTTACTGAGTACTAGAAGAGATAATTCTTTGTTTCTGGAGGGAATTTATTCCCAGAAAAAAGAATAAAGTCAAAAATAATGTTAGATGGGTTTTAGACCCGTAACTACTGTATTTCTTTAAAGTTTCTGATAAAGCTGCCAGGTCTTGCATTCAAATAGCTAACATTAAGGAGCAGATTGTTCTAAAGAGTGATAGAAATTCTACTTTCTACCAATGATATAATGGAAAACAGATGCTCTTTTTCAAATGCTTTTTGTCTTAAGCAGGCCCCTTTGTCATTTTGGAATATAAGATAAATCATTATTTAAGATAACATAAATTCAGATGAAAATGCTATTCTGAGAGTTGCAGATGTTACCACCACTCTTGTCACCATGTAGCATTCAAGGGGGAAGGGGATGTGCATATGTTTGTTGAGCAGACACTCCCTAATAGTTTTGAGGAATTGGGTAAAGAGTCTGTCTGTCTGTCTGTCTGTCTGTCTGTCTGTCTGTCTGTCTGTCTATCCATCCATCCATCCATCCATCCATCCATCCATCCATCCATCCATCTATTTATCTATCCCATCCATCTATTCTGTATGTCTGTCTCTCCTATCTATTATCCTTATTGATTCTATAGCCTTTGTTTCCAGATATTGCCCATCCCTTGACTTTCCACCAAGGTAATAGTAAAAAAGCCTACACTGTGAAACTGTTTTTGAATGATAGCAGAACAAGAAAAAATACTACTTTAACAGTAGTTCAGATAAGGATCAACTGCATACAAGAGGAAAACAATGTTGTGGACATACAGGATAAAAAAGATGTTGTTTCACCATGGTCAAATGTAAATGGGGGAAGGACTTTGGTTGTGACTATGTTTGTGAAACATTCTTCTCAGGGAAGCAAGCCCACAAAGAACCACCCTTAAATGCCTCTCATCTAATTGCAATGTAGTAGGAACTGATTATTATTATTATTTTGCTTCTTTGCTTCTTTAATTTTTTTTTATTTAATTCTTGTATCACATTATTATTTATACTTATAAAGGTGTTTTAATTTCAGGGGCAGGTGACTAGGTAAGAAATGATTACGGTATGTCTTTTTAAAAAAAAGTCTTCTCTCCAGTGTTGGCAGCTTAAGATTTTTGCATTAATTTCAACGTGATCAAGCACATGGTACCAAAACCTATTGTTAAATTTCAGGACATTTGCAACAGTTATTCACTGTACAAAGATCATGCTGCAATTGTTGATTGTGTTAAGTCTGTTTGCAACACACTTTTAATATTATTACGGACTGTAGAAGGAGATATTCTTGTACATGTCTAAGAACTATTTTTAGTTTAGATGGGGGAATTGGATATATATTTGGATATAAGAGAGTACTATATATTATTGATATAAGAAATAAAAACTGAAGACACAATACAGAATGGGTTGGATTTTTCAAAAATGTATCTAGCATAGATGAAACAGCAGTGAATAGAAAATTATACAAACTGTATCTTGGAACACCTTTTTATGTATTATCTTCACTTTCATAGTATTAAAGCAATCCATGGTGATATCATTGCTTCCTTTTGACAGTTCCTATCACATACAATTGGCAGTTTTCTGAAATGAAAAGTACATAAAAGCATGTGAGTGCAGATAGGAATGCTCTGTTCTTCAACTGGCAATGCATAGTATTTACAATTCATAATTAATGGAATTAATTAAGGAGAAGCTACTTTTTATGGAAAGAAGCTATTCCTCAAAGCTCTACCTACCTATAATTCAATATAATACTTAATTCACACACACACACACACACACACAATTTCAGACTCCCTTCACTTTTGTCAATTTTGTTATGCTGTACCCTGATTCTATAGTTGTTGAAATTCATTTTTTTCTCATTAATCTACACTCGGTACCTCATAATAACAAAGTGAAAACAGAATTTACAGAATTCTGAATTTCTGTTTACAGAAATGTCTATAAATTTATTAAAAAGAAAAAAAACCTGAACTATTACACACACACACACACACACACACACACACACACTCCACTCATGTCCCTATTTCCATTTCACCCCGACAATTTGCAACTGTTAGTTATAGACCACTCAGATTTAAGTTAGTTTGCTGCTTCCAATTTTATTCTCTTACTAAACCAACATAGAGAACTCTATTACTATGTGAACATATGTTTGTGGTTAGGAAAGGGTAGAAGAGTGTTCATTCAAGGGGATTTGAAGCCAAAATCACTGCAAGTCTAAATATTCCAAGTTGCTGAGACGTTGTGCCAAGAAATATGATGGGCTAGTAATGGGACTCCCATATGTGCAGTGCTGTTTGATAGGCCACCTTGTGCCACATTATCTCTGTAATAGAAAATATTTTTCACAAACTTACACTAATAGCTCCAAGATAATGTTTTAGAAACTTTTGAGAAATTATTGTTCTATTACTAGTGAAAAAAATGAAGAAGTAATTATTGTCCATATATTGTTATCACACATCTCAACTTTCTGACAGATGTAATTCAACAAAATCCAGACAGCCCAGTTTTCTCCACCTTGTTATGTCCAATTTGGGCTTTGTAATATCTTCACATTTTTTACTCCTTTCCATTTATACCACACTTATTGAATCTATATAAAATTGAATAATCTGCCACACCTTGAAACTGCACTATAAAATTTCTTCACAAGTCTGTATTGTGACTCTTTTCAGTTAGTCCGATATTTTGGAATCCCCCCCCTCCAATTTCTATTTTAGCAGCTTGTGTTCATGATCCTCCACCTTATCCAGAGATCTCTCTGCTAAATCTGATGGAGTGATATCTCTATCACCTCTGGAGGTTCTGTATTTGTTTATGGATACCCTTCCCAACTCGTGTCCCAGAATAGTGTAAAAACATCCTTGCTTGGTCAGCCCATAAAACACCTTGTACAGTCATGGGGAGGCAACATATGAGCCTTTCTTATCATTTCCATTCCCCCTTCATAAACTTAACCTTCAACATTTGAACCACATCCCTTTAAATCAGGCCAGATTCAGCTTTTCAGTTTTTTTGTTTCTATTTTTTATTTAAATCTCAAGAAACATTTATAGGATGGAACATCAAGAATTTGGTAAAACTCCATAATTTAAGGGAATAGAAAGGAAAAGGTGAAGGAATGGGAAAAGAAGAGTAGGACATGAGGAAGTGATGTTAAGATATAGCTAAATTTTAACATTCTTAGCACTCGGCATTCTGGTGTTGTTCTCACCATTTATTGGATTTCATTGATCTCTCAGAATCATAGTCAGATGGAGAAGAAGCTGCTTTAGCCCAGGTGGGCCCCTTACTAGCTATTTCTCATTTTTTAACTAAAATGTCCTATTCAAATCCATTTCCGTCCTTAATACTCTACCTTTCTTTTCCAAATATGAAATTGCCTTATCTCTTCTTTCAAAACATTGTACTTATTTATTTTGCAAAAATGTAGTTTATATGGCCCATCCATTATATTTTCCACCCACCCCCCCCGGGCCTTTTATGGACTTTACATGAAGACCTAATTCTAGATGCTGAGTTTAATGTTAAAAGTGATATGGCAATATTGCTGGGGAGGGTAGCTTTTATTTATTTATTAAAATTTGTCAAACAAAAATGAGAACAAGAATAAAAGGGAAAAAAACAGGGATGATAGGCACATTAGTGCACTTATGCACGCCCTCTCTACTGACCACTTAAGTATGAAGTAAGGTCCATGGAAGTCAATTTGTGCCTGAAACTGTGAAAACTGTAGTATTAAGACTTTTATCTTCTTTAAAAAAATATGGTATTAGCATTCCCATAACATCCAGTTTTCACAATATGTAATCCCCGCCCCCCCCATATGTTAGGTGCCGATTTTCCTAATTTTATCTTTTATTTTCCAACAAGAAAAGTTTATGTGAAACTGTGCTGCTATCATTTAAAGTTTCAGCAGTAAATTTCATTTCATAATCTTGAGGTCATAAAAAGACATTAGAATATTCATGTTGTTTCTATCCTTTATTATGGGTTGCTTACCTCTGCATTGTACCAATATATGTTAAACCTAGATAAATTTCTGTTGCAAATCACACACTTTTTGTAATTTCTTTCTCAGATTGCAGGTTCATAGTCTATCTCCAATAATGGTAATAATTTTGCAGCTTGTTAGTCATATACCATCAGCCCTGTAAGGTAGAGCAGACTAAGAAAGTAATGCCATATAGGTTTATAACTACTGTTATACTAATATAATTTTGCAGGTCTGAATGTGTTTCCATCCTTCTTCACTTTGTCTTCATGTGAATTAGAGAAAGTCCATCTGAGATATTTATTCAAGTTAGTTTCTTGGAATGATCATAATCCCCACTTGTCTGACTGCAGTGGTTCTTCCTCCTGTTCTTCTAGACCATTCCCTATGCCTTCTTCATATATCCTGGTAATGGTAGTTAAACCAGAAGTTTTTATTATGTGCTGGGACTCCAGTTCAATATGGAATTTAGTTGGAAAGAGATTTTGTCCATTAAAAGGGCATATGAATATATGGAAGATTTGCAACACTGAATTTATGCCTCCTCTTACCATAATAATTGAATCCATCTAATTCTACTGAACTGTATAATGTTTGTCATCCTTCTCACCTAATATATCTGGGCAAGTAAAAACGCAAAGATGTTAGCCAAAATCCTGCAATAAAAAACTCAGCCTTTTCATGTGACACATACAAAAAAGGAGTAGTGTTTTGCTTGTATGGTTGCAGCCAGTCTTGATTTTGGGAGAGGGCGGAATATACACAGATATGGCTCTGTAGTAACTTTGATTGCTAGAAAGCAGCCAAAGAAAATAATTGATTGTCCCAAAGGTACTTTTTCAAGAGGCATAATAATTGATTAACTGCTTGGAATATTCTGGGAGAGAGAATCCAATTCTTTTTTTCTGTTCAATTGGTGACTATAAAAGTTAACAGTTTGCAGAGTGGGCCTTCAAGCAAAGATAATGCAGATTATTATTATTACTATTACTATTACTATTATTATTATTATTATCATCATCTCTTTTATTCATTAAACATGAAACTCAGTCAACTGAACATTTAAAAATGTGTCACAAATATGATTGACTGGTGCTAATGGTTGATATGGGTTGCTGCCAGGATCCTAGGTATCAACCAAGTATTTTCTTAAAATATATGATGTTCCAAGTAGCGCAGTCTTATGCAATCCTGCTGGTGTTATTGCAGGAAGCTGCAATTTCTTGATGTGCTTTGTTGTTGTTGTTGTTGTTATTATTATTATTATTATTATTATTATTATTATTATTATTATTATTATTATTACTACTACTACTACTACTACTACTACTACTACTACTACTACTTCTACTTCTACTATTGAAGCAACACTTGATTGCAGTTGGGTGAATTTGAAATGCGAACATTAATGTTTTTTTCTTTGCTTATATTTGGAAACTGAAGATATGAGTATGATAAAAATTTATTTATTATTTATTATTTATTAATTCAATTTGTATGCCGCCCCTCTCCGAAGACTCAGGGCGGCTCCCAATGCATTTAAAATCATTATAAAAAACATTTAAGAATTAAAAACATTAAAAACATTAAAACTCATTCACACCATTCATGGCTGGATCTCGCCGGATCGCGAGAGTGAGATCAACAGCCCCAGGCCTGCCGGAAAAGCCAGGTCTTCACCGCTTTTCGGAAGGCCAATAGGGTGGGGATGGTCCGGACCTCAGGAGGTAATTGGTTCCAGAGAGCTGGGGCAGCCACAGAAAAGGCCATCCCCCGAGGGCCTGCCAGCTGGCATTGTTTAGCTGATGGGACCCAGAGGAGACCAACTCTGTGGGATCTTATCAGTTGTTGGGAGTTATGCGGTAGAAGACAGTCTCGAAGATACCATGAAAATAATCAATATTCCATCATCATCGTTGTTATTGCTGTCATCATCATTATCATCTATGTCAACCATAAACATAAAACCCCAAAATTTTACAAATATCTAACAATTATAGCAAAGACCCAGTTTGATGGAGTAATAAAGATGCTGGACTAGAAATGGGAAGATCATTTGTTCTATTTCTCCTTTTAGGCATAAAAGCCAGTTGGGGGACTTTGGAGCAGTCACTCTCTTAATTAAATCCACCTTACAGGGTTGTTTGGTGGGCAAAATAACAAGAGGAAGCACTAAGTATGCTGCCTGGAATTGTACAAAATAAAGGTGAGACATAAATAAAAAAAAATGAATTGAATCTGAACTTAGGTGACTGCACCCACTGAATCAAAAGGAGAAAGTTATGGATATTGATATTAATGGGTTTAATGTAGATGATATAAATAGATACTGTTTATTTCTACAATTTATATCCAGATTTCCTTTTAGCCTGTGAGTTTGCTACTTTATAAATAATGTGAAAATGTATCTTAAGTAAAAATTGCCATCTCCATGGAGAGAGCAGGAATTGTTATTCCTATTTTATGTGCTTTGAAATAACATAAAATGCTGTAAAATTGAAGCATTATTTGTTAGAAGATGCCCAGTTGTTTACTTTTTGATAGAAAGCATTGTTATAGGCTTCAAGTTTTTGGTCAAAAAAGAAACAGCAAATTGAGAAAGGAAAGCTGAAACCATTTTGTCTGTGACATGTAAGAAATAACAAGAACTGTGATAACCCAGAAAGTGACTTCTCCTTCTGCCTCTCTCTCTCGGCTTGCTTTACCTGCTTACCTGAGCCATTGATTAGCAGGTTCATGGCCTAGCCATGAAGTCTGTGAGAGATTCATTAGAATACCTTCTGTCAGTGGAGTATTAAAAGCCAAAATGCATTATTATCTGCTTAATGGATTCTTCCCCTTGGCAGTCAGGGATCAACTGGAATCCAATGACAGAAGCCTTAATGGAGAGTATTGGGGAAGGGCGGGGGCGTAATGTAAGAAAATGTAATTGATTCCATGCTAGAGATAAAACAAGGTATTTTGCTTTCATTGCCTGCTGCCATATTGTCATGAGAGAGGGTGGTATTGAAGATCATGCTTGCTCTATCATTAAAAGAAGAGGGCAATATGTAATTACTTTTTAGAGGGCTTGCAAGAGACTTTTTGCTTCTTGTAAATGGCTTGCTACCTTTAGATAAAGAATCTTCCATCTCTCCAAAGAAATGCTTCTATATTTTAAACATAGCCATCCTTGAATTTTCAACAAATATGCACTGTATTGTACTACACAGTAATATGTAGTCATTACTGGTACCAGCAGTTGTTGCTCTTGTAATTAATGAAATTGGAAAGCAAAGAATATCTATTTATTATAAGACCAAAATAATTTCCCCTTGACACCTTGCCTATATACTGTATCCCTTATATCTGGGGCTGGACGTTTTAAAATGTAAGGTTTCAATATTTAAACACCTTGTGTCTTTCTTCAATTTTCCTGCTTTAAACTTTGGCTTGTTAAGTGGTTGTGTTACTAAGAAACAGGTTTCAAAAGCCATAATCACCATCTCTTAAAAACTGGAATTGAACATTTTTTTTCCTTTCAAGAGCCAAAAAGCTTTTCCAGAGGAATTTAGTTTCATTTATGTTAAAGTAGTTTTGTCATGTCTGCATTTTCACAAAATACAAAGTGCAAATAAACATTTGGAGTCTATAACTGTATCAGAACTCTTGCTGAGCCAGTGGCATTTCCAGAGTTCACCGCCTTGAGTTCAACCTTTTTTTTTTCTTTTTTACAATGCACTTCAGTGGGCTGCCTTATAGCAAAACTCCCACATACTTTGTAGTAAATACTGTGAAGGACGTTGGCATCAATTGTCCCTGTAATTGTTTGTGTGTGCATCTGCAAGTGTGTGACTGTGTGTGTATGTATTTCGTCTTTTGGTACACCCAGTGAAATAAATATAACAAATCAAGAACAAATGAGAAAGAATACGCTTCCTGCTTCAACATGAAAATTGACAGAATAATTAAAATTCAATTAATTGAAGATACAGCAGCAGAAACTGATCTGAATTACAATGCAGCATTCTTCATTTCTACATCAACATGTGAAAGTAATATTTAAGAAGTTCTACTCTAACAGGTCTTGACTGAGTTTTAGTTAAACAGAAATCTTCCAAATCAGGAGAGTCACTATAGTGAGATGTCTGGGAGACTAACCATGCAATAACTTACAGTATATCACATGATAGCCAAGATCGTCTGTTTCCCTTGTTGGAACTAAATGCAGTTGTTGGAACAGGATGGTTGTGTCTTTTAAACTGGATACTAGATTCATCAGGGTCAGAAAAACCTTTGCAATTTGTATCATTGGTGCAATGGTCAATTTTCTTAATTTTGCAGTGGGAAACTTCCCAGTGTTACTAATTGCATTCTCTGTAATTCTCTACAGAGTATTTGCTTCTTAGAATTGGGAAGTAACAGCATTTGTGTGAGTGTGTTTGTGTATTGTCAAATGAAGTAGGTTAGAAGCCTGAAGAATAGACTTGACATAGATGACCTGCATTGCACATGATAAGCTGTTTTGTCACATAGAGGTCCAGTGATCTATATCAATTCAATACCTTTATCTATGGAACATTTTTTCTGCACATCAGAGCACATCAAAGACTTCTGCCTGAACAAAGAATTTTGTGTTGAAATGAGGGTTTACCTATGTGCCATTATCCAGCAATATGCTTAGAAGGCTTATACTTTGGGGTTTTGCTTTAAAAGAGTGCTCCAGCTTTCAGGGGATCCTGGAATTCTAAAAAAAATGCAAACAACTATTTTGCCTTCTCAAAATTCTGCTTTGTATTTGATCACGGGGTAGCTATTCCACAATAGTTAAATCTCATCCTCTTGTGATAGCACTTATTTAAGCTATTCAAAATAAGCTCTCAAAATTCCAGTTATTTTTACTGTCATAAAACACCACCACCACTAAGCCTTATTCAGTCTTTAATCAATACACTATACTGACAGTACTAGTACTGAGGTAAGATTCTGTTATTTGACTGATTAGTTTCTATGTAGGATAAAGATTTGATCAGGATTTTTCTCCTGATCCTAGACTCTTTCAGGACAAAGTATTGGAGGCAGATAGAACTCAGAACATGCCTGATGTTGGGACTACACTTCTCAGAATCCAAAGAAGAATGGTTGGGCTTTAAGAAATTGAATATAGGAAATTAAGGATTTTTAAATTATGGATTTTAGAATATAGGAAAGCAGCCTGTAGTTCTTTTGCAACTTTTTTTGTTTAGTATAAAAAATGATTTATCAGAAATATTGTACTTGCAGAAGCCCACAAACATAGACACACACCTTGCTTTTATCAATTTCTCATTGCCAACTGGTTGCAGTCTTGAACTTTTCTAATAACACACTATCCCACCACCATTCCCACCTTTGTGTTTGAAGTTCTCTATTGAAAGGCTATCCACATTTTCTACCTGCTTGAAAATTGCTGTTCTCTGCATACCTTGCGACCTCTTACTTACAGAACATTGTGTTCACAGGATTACTCCAGGTTGGAAGATGAGAAGAAAGCATTTGGGCAGCAAAACACCTTTGCTTAAATGTGTCTCTTCTTGATGAACAAAAATGACATGGAGTCATGGAAGAAAAGAAAATGTAATCATGCCCTGAAGCACAGTTTTCTTCAAAGGGGCAATGATGCACATATTGTACAGACTGAAAAAAAAAGAGAAAAGGGAATGATATTGCTATAAACTTTCCCATTGAATTTAAGTGGGGGGTGAAAGTGCTTTTGATTACACTTCTGAAAATACTAATTGTGAAACAGAAAAGCAATATCTATAAGAAACAAATATACTGGATCCAAGAGTGGGTGAAGCAGTGCCACGGTCCTCCCCTTCCAAAAGATAGAGACATATATTGTTTAGTAGTTTTTTGTCTTCTCACATGTCTTTTCAGGGACAAAATTAATAACATAACATGATTGCACTTTACATATTGAGTGTATTGGTACAAAAAAAAGCAGCTTTGAAGGTAGTATGGAGGAATGTATGGAGGAATGTCTTTAATTTTGTTTTTGTTTTTGTTACTACAGTCCTAGTTGAAATCATATATTGAAGGGGTTCCTGTCTGTCCCTTTCCACCAAAGCCCAACTGCCATAATAAGAGACCACAATCTCTACAACAATACAGTTGGGACAAAAAAAAAAAAACCCTTCGTTTTTCACTTCAGATCAATTTTTTTATGTGACTTCTATAATTAAAAAAAAAAAAGCATTCCAACCCTTGGGTAATACCAAAATTATGGAATAAGAAATCATTCAATGTTCTGGAAGAGGTCAGTGATGAACCACTTCTATATTGTTGTCAATATAACTGCATGATTGTCTTTGTAGTCATAAAGAGTAATGGATTCTACTCTCTTTAACTATATGAGGAGAATGAAAAGAAAAAGTCCTTTTTTGTTGTTTTTTCTATCAGAGATAAGGAGTATCTCTGCCTGCAGTCATAAACAGGCTATAAACTGCTACCCTTGACTAAATCCAGACAGAAATTCAGAGAGTAAATCCAGCTCCAATCAAATAAGACTGACATTTAGTTAATAGACTAAATGGAATAACAGATATAAAATAATACCTTGCTACTACTGGGAAATAGCAATATCTGGAACATTCAGACCATGATGCATTAATCATTGCATTTGACTGTATGCCTGGACCGTAAGCTAACAGATCTTTTCAAAGTACCATCTCTACAGAGGGCACTGAATCCAACATCTTTGTACTGGAGAAAAATCTTGGCCTGATCACCAAAATATGACAATATGCCCATTTCCATTGTGCCAGCTTCCTCTTTCTTCCAAAGAAATCCTGAATATTTAAAAATAAATTAGCACAAGGTTTTGTGGAAACTGCAAAGAAAAATCTAGATAGATACATGATAGATAGATAGATAGATGATAAAATAAGTTGCGAAGCCTGACATACATTTAAGAAACTGACACCTTGATGGTTCCTTATAATCCATCCTCCTCTGATTACTCTCTCATCTTGCCCACAACTGATACAAAATTACTGACCATGTTGCTATCTCTCTGGCAAGAGAAATTGCTAGACATAGTAGTTCTCCTGAGTATTGAAAGTATTCTGTTTCTAATCCTTTGCTATGTCAATAAAATTGAACCTGGTGCATTAATAAAGAAATGCAGTCGATTTTGAAAATGCTTCAGGCCTTGCAACCCATGAATTGCAATTGGGTGTGCACCGGACAAGATAAAATAATTTTACAGACCAAAGCAAGTTGGAGTATTATGAAATTTGTACCAGGAAATAAGACAGGCAAATATCTTAAGCATACTCTGTCTCAGAACTCCAAGTCTTTCTCTTTGTATGTGTATAAGATTGAGTAGAAAAAAATAAATAAATTCTACAGGTAAAGGTAAGAATGGAAGAAATGAAAAAGGAAAGGGGGAAATGCAGAAGGACTAACCCTATAAACAGCAGATCTCCTACAGGCTCTTTGTTTATGGAAAAACAATTGTGTTACACAGCTACATATGCAATAATATTAGCAAGATTTTGTAGCAGGATTGAAATTGATATGTAGCTGTAAACTTTGTGAGGTAGTTCAGGTGAGAAGCACATCCAGGAGTACTAGCTTTATCTTACTTTTAAGAGTGCATTAACAGAACCTTCCAAGTACAGTTCTCCCTCCTCATCTTTAAGTCCATGAAACTAGGTAGGGCTCCTTCTGAGATGCCATCCATCCCTTCTGTGGGCTCATCTGCCTCCTGGCTGTTTCTCCTGCCTCCCAAGGTCATTTCCACATAACATAATAATCCACTAATTGTGATGTGTACATGAGCACACTGACTTCATGTCATTTGTATGGGCAATTATCTCAGCTCTCTGTAGTTCTTTTCACTATTGAACCTATCCATGACTGGAGAGAAGAAACAATCCTACTTAGTACAAAGATCCTTAGCACATGTCAACAGATCTAGCCAAACTTGAAGAGAACATGGCATTTCCAAGAGATTTTGAACCTCTTCAAGGTAACAACATACGGTAGTCCCTCAAAATGATTCAGACTTGATTTTAGATTTTCCCCCCCAAACATTTTGGAATGAATAGAGGGCATCTGCAGAAAAATAGTTACTCAAGTCTTGCTATCTGATAGGATGTCCAATTACAAAAGTCATTTTCCTAAGTTATTCAAATATAATATTTGCTGTGCTTCTCTACTCTTTTTCTGTTTTACTTCATATAAGTAGAAATAATTAAAGAGAGTTTGATTAAATTAATGAGAAAAAAATTCCGGGCTTTGAATTTGAGCTTACCTTACTGATTGCAGTCAGACTCCCATCGGGCTATGCAGTCATAGCTGAGGCTTGTCTGCATCCCAGACTTGGTTGAATCTTGCTGGGTGATGATGTAACGAAGAGGGTTGTGTTCTGAAAGGGTGTTGGGCAATTACTATTATGGCTTAATGGCTTTGTCCTGGTTTGGATCTTGAGTGAGGGCTAATCCTATCACTCTGGAGGTGAAGGCCTTTTGTTTTGTAGATAGGATGGCCCAGTCTTTCTGGGGCTATTAACAAAGGTGAGGGTTGCTTTCCAAGAGCATGTCTTTCTTTTTCTCATCCAGGGAGGTATAATATTCTGCCTTTCTAATGTTTCCTTCAATATTTCATTCTTCTAGGAGGGGGGTGGGTGCTAACTTTCTACAATGGGTTTCCTTATACAAAATTATATTTTATTACATGTTATTTTTTTATTATTAATCTAGTGCTGTGTTTCTCAACCTTGGCCATTTTAAGATGGTTGGATCTCAACTCCCAGAATCCCCAAGGCAACATCCTGGCTAAGAAATTCTGGAACTTGAAGTCCACAACTTTTAAAGCTAAGATTGAGAAACACTGGTCTACTCTTTATCTTCTTAGATTGTGGTGGTTCAGAAGATTTCATCTGCCTTCTCATATTATTTCATTTTAAATAGCTCTGAATTCAATTCTTACAGGATGATGTGAAAGAATAATTTATTATGATACCTATAAAATGCTTCACTTTCTGTCATAGTGTTTACTATGATGCGTGGATCTCCTACCTTGTTTATATTGCAGATGTATTTTAAGATCTTTCTCTCTCTCACCCTCCCTCCCTCCCTCCCTCTCTCTCTCTCACACACACACCTGCTCACTCATTACTACACCTTGTAGGGTAGGTCATCTAAGGTGACTGATAGGAATGGCATTCCTAGCCAAGATAACAGAAACATTTATGCCAGGACTGAGTTTGAAAAGGCCGAAATTTAAATAACCAAGAATTTTATAAAACTCAAATGCAATTGAATGACTTCTTAGCCTATAATACACATCACTGAATTTCTCATAACTTTATTCTGGAGGTAGGAGCAGCCATCATCTCTAAATAAAGACTTTCCTTATTTCTCAGCTAATAAACTGTTTAGTTTTATATTCCTAAATGTAAAACAGGAGCAGCAATATATTGCACTCAACTTAATGAAAAATAAATGGAAACAAAATACCTTGGATGTTACATTGGTTAAATATATTATTTTATGGGTCAGAGCTGTTTCTAAATTATTTTTATAGTAAATGATCTCGCCTTTTGCCTATTTGTTGGACCCACAGGGATTTTATATATAGGTGATATCAGAATATTATTTTCAGTAATGGAAATAACTAACAGCAAAATGAAGCTGTTAGTATAAAGGTTACTGGATCTAGTGGAATAAATATTTCAAGACAAGGATATGAATTAGGAAATCAGAGATAAAGTTTTGCATGCATGTACAAGTGTTTGCAAATTACTCAGGAATATGCTTTAGCAGCAAAGTTTTAAATGTGTTATAAACAATTGTATGCATGGATGAGACTGGACCACAGTATTAAATTAAATTATATTAAATATAATGGAAGTTGAAAGTCAACATACAGTATTGGGAAGGTATCTGGTTATGTTAAGCCTCGTTAGGTATAAACTGGTCTTATAAAATGAAAATGTCCTAAGTGAATGAATGTAAATCCATATTTGAGACTAAAAGTGCCAAAGACCTGTAGAAATGATTAAACATAAATATATTATATTATATTAATGTTTTGCTATTCACAAATATTTCAAAGGAATTCTAGATAAGAGGTTGGCACTGAAGTTTTTGGTAGCATAACAAGGGAAGTGTAAAAATTGGATTTGCGGTTTTAGACCTCAAAGTAAACGGAACTCTGAAAAAGGGAAGAAATGCAGCAGCCTCAGTTGTTTGAAAGCAAATAACTAAAGAGTCCAACATTTCTGAATGAAGCAAATATAATTCTGCAGCTGATTTTAAGATGAATTAGAGCAAAAATCTACTATTTAATATATTATTTAAAACAAATCAGTCATATTGGATTAAAAAAAAGTCTGTATTACCAACCACATATAATCTATCTCTTTTCTTCCAGATCTGTGAAATAAATTGTATCTTTCTCGAAAACAGGTTCAGCCAGTTTCTCAATAACATCTCTAATAGACCATTACCAACCATTCATACCATTTCCTTAGCAGAATATTGGATCTGTCAATGCAGAAAATTGCAGTTCAGTGATCTCACATGCTTAGCAGTGTCTTTGATTCAGGGATCATGGTTCTGATTCTGACGTGCAGACAGGAAAGGCAAAATAAACCCTGACATTTGGGCATCCCAGAGCAATCTGCTTCAGAAACACAAAGGAAAACTACATTCAAGGTATATGCCGATTCATCTCTTAATGATTTTTTAGAAGAGATGGAAAGTTAAGGAACTCTTTTGTTCTTCCATAATGAAATCAAGTCTATATCACTAATTGTACCATTTTTAAGTGGTAAACTAGACCTGTTGGCAGGAAAGTTATAATTTGACCTCCAAGGCACTTGAAAGGCATTGCAGAAAAAGAGTAAAATTCAGATTAGGATTATGATGCTGGGAGATAAGCAGGGGTGGGATTCTACTGGTTTGCACCAGTTCGCTAAAACCGGTTGTTAAGTAGTTAAGCAGTTCGGAGAACCGGTTGTTAGAAGAAATCTCCTTTTGTTTTTTTCCAGTTTACAGGGTTAATCCTGTAAGGAATTACAACATTCTGGTGTTGTTTCTAGCCTAATCTTTATTGCCCTGCTTACAGAAACTGCCTCAATTAATCCTTATTTCATTCTTGGCAATACGCCTAGACTTAGTGTCACCTCTGGAGCTTTTTTTCCCCTTTGCTTGACTTTCTTAAAGGGGAAGCAGGGGTGAAATCCAGCAGGTTCTAACAGGTTCTGGAGAACCGGTAGCAGAAATTTTGAGTAGTTCGGAGAACCGGCAAATAACACCTCTGGCTGGCCCCAGAGTGGGGTGGGAATGGAGATTTTGCAATACCTTTCCCCTGCCATGCCCCAAGCCACACCCACAGAATCGGTACGGAAAAAAATTGGATTTCACTCTGAGGGGAAGGGTTGTTTTAAGCTTTTTACACTGATGTTGGGAGGAAATACTCCCCTGTTAGAGTTCTTCCAGCCGAGATGCAATGATCACCACTTTGAAGAAATAATTGAATAATGAAGCAGAGCTGCCAGAAAGAATGACAAGGAACCAAGATGAGTGATATTCAGCAAGCCTTTTTAGCTACCTAGAAAGATTGACATTCAAACATGAGTTTACATACCCTTTCTGATTTTTGGTCTAAAACTGTTTTTTGGTGAAGTTTAATTCTGTGCTTGGTGATGTTTAATCCCGTGTTTATTGATGGGATAATTTTCCCTATTCATCTTTTTTTGGAAAGAAAAATGTTAATCTCTGTTCCTGAAAAGAAGCAGATTCAGAAATCTGGCTAGTTCCTATGTCTATTTATTCTGGTAATTGATTTAACAAGCAACAGCTACTGTGTTTGCTCCTTTGCTTCATTCTGGTGTAATTGCTTTCTTTGTAGTTAGGTTTATCTCAAATGCTTTTTTTATCTGGGGAGGAGGGTCTTCCTTCACTGCTTTAGTGGTTCTTGGCACTGTCCTTTGGGGTGTACTTCCAAGAGGCAGAATGCAAGCTTGGCACTGATTTTTTTACTGCCTTTCTGGGGGACATGTGATCTTTCCTTAAATCTGGATGATTTCCTTGGGATATTTTATGAGGTGAGTGAGGCCAGCTGGTATCTTTAAGTGGTGCAAATGGATCTAAGGATTGCTTCTCCTGGGTGTGCTCTTTCTGGAAAGCTTAAATGACATCTCTGCTAACGGGTTTCACTTTATGAGTAAGAGTTGGCTGCTGATAGTTATCATTGCAATTTAACTACTTTAATTCCTCAAACTTTCTGAGTCGGGATTCCTTATGCACAGTCACTCATGCTCTCGTCACTTCTCGCCTGGACTATGCTAACGCTCTCTACATGGGGCTCCCCTTGAGGAGCATCCGGAGGCTCCAACTGGTCCAGAATGCGGCCGCGCAGGTGATCATGGGAGCGACATGGCGCTCCCATATAACACCTCTCCTGCACGAGCTGCACTGGCTCCCTGTGGTCTTCTGGGTGCGCTTCAAGGTGTTGGTTCTCACCTTTAAAGCGCTCCATGGCTTAGGGCCAGGGTATTTACGAGACCGCCCTCTGCTACCGATAACCTCCCACCGGCCAATACGCTCTCACAGAGAGGGCCTCCTCAGGGTGCCGTCGGTCAAGCAATGTCGGCTGGCGGCCCCCAGGGGGAGGGCCTTCTCTGTGGGAGCACCCGCCCTCTGGAGCGAGCTACCTCCCGGATTATGGCTGATTCCGGATCTCCGCACTTTCTGTAAGGCCCTGAAGACGTTTTTAT